GGAAAAACATTTCCGCAAGCACTAGGCCACTATGAGCAATTAACCCTTACTCATTTAAAGTACAAGTCGGAGAAACTGACAAAATTTTGACTTTCTGAAGGGATGAGGGATAAAATTATTATTAAAGGGACCACTATTGCTTAAGGCTGATATAATAACGGTTAATACTTCTAATTTCCTAAGAGTCTCACTTACTAAAAACAATACCAAAATAGGACTGATTGCTATATATAATTCGCTTAGTTCCAGCAGGGCAGAGTTTGTCAATAACATTAAGCTTTTGTTTGAGATGAGTTTCCAAAGACATTTGATCGAGATATTTTGTGGAGACACAAATATTAATATCATGGAGAGAAAATCAACTCAATACTCCACAGAATACCTAAATTACCTAAATCATATGGGGTATATAAACCAAATTAATGATTTCACGAGGGTAGTCGGTAATGCAAAAAGTTGCATAGACCATTTTTTTTCTAAAAAATAGTGTCAAAGATACAGTCATTGCTAAACCATTTATTATCACAAGCGGCTTAACAGATCACTTTCCTGTTTTGCTGAGCTTGCAATTTTTAGAAAAAAAGAATGAGTTAACTAACTCTCAACCAAATATAACTCGAAAAATTATTAACTTTCAAGAAATATCAAACCAAATCAACAATTTGAACTGGACCGACTTACTAAATTGTGGCGACCCAAACATTTGCATGAATATTTTCCTCAATAAACTAAGTACTATAATTGATAAGGCTACTACTACAAAAATAATAAAAACTAGTCGCAAAAAAAAAGAATGGATTACTCTTGGGATCATAAACTCGATAAAAACTCGTGATAAATTAAAAAAAGAAGCTCTTAGAAATCCTTTAAATTTGCAGATACAAGAACGTTTCAAACTATATAGAAATATGCTAACTAGGTCAATCAAAAGAGCAAAATTTTCATTCTATAAAAACAAATTAAATAATAACCTTAATAATGTCAAAAAAATTTGGGAAACTGTAAGGGAGGCAGCAAATGAAACTCTGGATAAAAATATAAATATAAATTCTATAATGGAGAATCATAGTGAAATTACTGAAAGCAATAAAATGGCAGATAAATTTCTTGATTACTACTGTAATATAGGAAAAAATCTCGGTAAAAAAATAGTTGAGAATAATTATGTTTTTGAAGGGCCAGGTACCACCTATAATGTAGCGACTTTTGCAGAGGTGACGGAAAATGAGTTGATAATACAAATAGGCTCTCTTAGGAATAAGGCGTCAAGTGCAAATGATGGTATTTCCGCCGTTATTATTAAAGACAATCATTTAGCTCTGCTGGAGCCCCTGAAGTATATTGTAAATTTAGTTCTTGCAACAGGTGTCTACCCCAGTGTTCTTAAAAACTCCATTATAACTCCTGTATTCAAGACTGGTGATAGACGAAAAGTTGAGAATTATCGACCTATTGCGATCACTAGTACGGTGAATAAATTATTGGAAAAGTGTATCAAAATCAAATTAGAAAAACATCTAGAAGATATAAATTTTCTATCAAACAGTCAATTTGGTTTTTGAAGTAAGATGTGTACTGAGGATGCTATCCAACTTGTAACAGAGAAGATACTGAACAATTTTGACCAGGGTTACAAAACTATTGGTATTTTTATTGACCTAGCAAGGGCTTTTGACACTGTGGCACATCACATTTTGCTGCGAATACTAAGTGAAATAGGTGTAAGAGGAACAGAGTTATCACTATTCCAGTCATATTTAAGTAATCGAACTCAGCAAGTCAAGGTAAATAATTTCATTGGGGAAAAGGGAACTGTAGAATGTGGTGTGCCGCAGGGTACAGTCCTCGGACCGCTATTATTTGTGATACATATAAATAATCTTACAAGAATTTTACCAGAAATAAATGGCTCGGTGATCTGTTATGCTGACGACTCTGTGATTTTGGTAAAAGCCAAAACATGGGAAGAAACACGTACGCTGGCAGAAAAATATGTTTCAATGGTCGGATTATGGCTGGATCAGCATCTTTTAACACTAAATAACAGTAAAACTCATTTTATAAATTTTTCTATGTACAACATAAAGCAGGATGAACCAGCAAACTTAACAATACATAATTATAACTGCTATTCTAAAGAAATGGCAGATTGTAGATGCACAGCTGAAATCTCGTCTGTAGCTTGTCTGAAATACCTTGGAGTTTACATTGATAAGAACCTGAAGTATAATGTGCACATTGATTACATAACTAAAAAGATCAGGAAAACAATTTATAAATTCTACCAACTCCGTGAATTCATGCCTTATGCACTTTTGAAAATAGTTTACCAAGCCCTGATTGAATCTACTTTGAATTATGGCATAAGAATCTGGGGTGGCGCGTGTGGCACGGTTTTGTCGAACTTGATGGTTACCCAGAAATATATTCTCAAGATAATAAAAAGGAAGCCAAAAAGATACCCTTCAATTAATTTGTTTGTTGAGAGTGAAGTTTTGACGATAAGAGAGCTCTATCTGAAAAAAACATTGCATTATATGCAAAATAAAAATACATACAAAACTGTTCCGGTGGGTCTTCACAATACAAGATCTATAACATGGGAACACGTTTGTTCAAGCAGGGTAAATTTCACAGCCTGTCAACGTCATATTTCATATGTGGGACCAAGAGTTTTTAATCTTCTACCTCTAGAATATAAGCATATTAGGAGAAAAAAGGTGTTCGATTTGAAAATGGTTGAATGGTTAAAACGTAGTCAAGACCTCATTGTACGGAACTTACCTTTTTTAAAAATATAAAAATAAATTAATGTAATACAATATCCTAATGAATTCCCATTGGTTTCAATTTTCCGAAGAAAAGTGAAAATTTTTTTAGAATATGTTCAATGTTTGCCATTTGAAAGTTTCATGCTATTGTAGTAATTGTAATTTATGATGAATGTAGCGTTGTAAGTAATATATTACTAACTATATCTACCAATTGTACCTACTTGCAAAAAGTATATCTATATGGGTAAAAGACTGAGACCCGACAAGTCACCTGTGACTTAGGGTACTAACAGTTCTAATGCTATACTAAGTTATTAATAAAAGGGGCATGAGTATAAGTTTAAGTTTAGCATAGTTTTTTTCAAAGACTTTATAGTATGTAAATAACGGGTTTTTTGCTTATAACATGTATACTTATATGCCATTCTGTAATATATTTCATTTCATTTCATTTCATTTCATTTCATTTCATTTCATTTCATTTCATTTCATTTCATTTCATTTCATTTCATTTCATTTCATTTCATTTCATTTCATTTCATTTCATTTCATTTCATTTCATTTCATTTCATTTCATTTCATTTCATTTCATTTCATTTCATTTCATTTCATTTCATTTCATTTCATTTCATTTCATTTCATTTCATTTCATTTCATTTCATTTCATTTCATTTCATTTCATTTCATTTCATTTCATTTCATTTCATTTCATTTCATTTCATTTCATTTCATTTCATTTCATTTCATTTCATTTCATTTCATTTCATTTCATTTCATTTCATTTCATTTCATTTCATTTCATTTCATTTCATTTCATTTCATTTCATTTCACCAGTACGACTGTACCGTCCGAGCACCTTCAGAAAAGTGGCTTGGAGAACGACAGGAAGGAATAAGGAATGACATGACATTCGGAGCATGAATGTAGCAACAAACTTAAAGGCCTGTATACAACAATAACTTAACTTAAAATTATTTACATCTTGTTATTAAACGTCAAATATAGCCTTAACGGTAGCATTGTAAATATTGCTCAATAATCTTACAAAATAACAATAATAATAATAATAATAATAAACAGTTTAAGATTATCAGCTGAAAACAATATCAATTTTGTCGAGTAGCAAAATCAAGGTTACAACTGAGAGGGGTTGTCTGGTAAAAATACATTTCAACAGTTACGCTACGTCATCAACGGTACTGTACAACCTGCTGTTCCAAGACATTTTAAATAAAATTCACAACTAAATTCGAAGTAGCTTTCAAACGCTACAATAGAGCGTTTTCGAATTTTGAATAAATATAAAAAATAATGTCTGTTCTGTTATTGTTTTCATTTAATGAAAATCAAAAAGCTAAGTTAGGTTCATAAATCACAGAATGTTTAGAAGTACTTATTAGGTTTTCACTTCTGAAATCGTTCGCGGTAAAAAAAAAAATCCTGAACCGATTCTTAACTAGGCATGCGCTCTGCGACAATCCCGAATCAGTTCTGAACTGATTCAGAATCGGACCCGCGAACAAAGCTAATGATCACTTATTGTGCAAGTCGTAGATAAAATGTTTTATATCACACCTACAGTAAGGCTCATCATCAAAAATAATTGTTAGCGATCTGCGGGTTTAACGTGCTGTACAGTTGCTCTGTGTTAAAGGTGTTTTCAACGTGGAAGTTTGTGATAGAAAATTGTGAAAGTTTCACCAAAGGTGCAATTGGGTGCTATCTTCAATTAATTGGAAGAATAACTTAAAAATACCAATTAGTTTCTCAGAAACATTGATTTAAGCTGTGAACAATAGAAGACAATACCAAACAAAAAACATTTCTCTTTGTTATCACCAATACCATAAATCGACCCAAAGGTAAATAAAAAAAAAGATTTATACTCGGATTTATATTTATATTTATACTTATCTTTTGCAAATCACTGCTCGATTGTTCAGATAAAAACATTTGGGTTGCTGATAATATTCAATACATATTTACATTGCCAATTTGCCATGGTCGCGTCAAATAAATGCTTTAAATGCTTCAATGAGTGTGTGTTTAAAGAGGATAAAGAAAAAAAGGATCTGTTTGGATTTCCATGCGACATGTGCTGCCGCACTATTTGTGCAGACTGTAATAAAATGATGGCACAAGAAATCAGGGTGATTCCTAGTACCTCTCGTTCATTGATTCATCTATGTCCTGACTGTATCATTGAATTTAAACAACTCCCAAGCATGCTGAAGAAAATACCAGCATTAGAACAGGCAGTAGTTGACCTTGAAAGTAAAGTAAAAAACCTAGAGCAGCAAAACCAACAACCTGATCTCGATAAGGAAATCAATGAGATAAAGGAAAAAATGTCCAATTATGAGAAGAATCAACAAAAATCTGAACAATCATGTAACCAAAACCTAAACTTGAACAACCAATCTCAGATTATTGATAACGAATCCTTATGTAAAACAATCAAAAATGAATTAAAAAGCCAATCAGAGCTTCTAGCAAGTCAACTGCAAACTGTGGTGAGCAATATGATGCTAACAAGGATTTAGTACGTTTTCTGACTGAAAAGTCTCCTGATGAAAATTGCAAAAGGAACACATTGGTGAATAATCAAATTAACCTCGATACTGTTAGAAATGCAACTGCAAATGCTACTGAAAAAATCATGGCTCATAACTCAAATCAAAAATCCTCGAAAAACCTGGCTAAACAGAAATTGGATAGTTGTGGAGAATGTGCTAGCAGCTCAAAACAGGGAATCAAGGGAGCAAAGAAAAATAGCAGTGGCTTGACTGCAGCTACCAAACAGTCATGGTTCTATGTGGGAAATTTGGGAGCAGGAACCTCTATGGAGCAATTGAAAGAACATCTTACGAGTCACAATATTCCTGTGTTAACAATTGATAAATTGCCCACTAAAAATCAACATGTTGCTTCTTTTAAAATTTCGGTTGATCCTAAATATGAGCCTGACCTGTTGGATGCTGAAATATGGCCGGAGGACACTACAGTGAAACCCTTTATTTTTAATAATAGAAACAAGCAGAACAGATGGCAACAAGGAAGACGATTTTTTCAATACCTCAAAACAAGTCATAGATGGGCATGGAATCAGTTGCTACTACCAGAATGTCAGAGGACTAAGAACTAAACTCAGTGCATTAATGTATTCGGTGATTGTGGAGGAGTATGACATCATTTTACTTACAGAAACTTTTCTGGATGAAAAAATAGATAGTTTGGAATTGGGTATGGCTAATTATCAAATATTTAGGTGTGATCGATCACATAATACTAGCTCACATTCGAGAGGAGGTGGTGTTTTAATTGCCGTAAAAGAAAACTTATCCGCTTTACAGTTAGATTCACCTGTAAAAAGTATTGAACATGTATTTGTTTCTATAATTTTAAAAGGATCCAAAAAATTAATAATTGGTTGTGCATATATACCCCCAGCATCTTCTCTCGAAGTATATGAAGCTCTTTCTGAATCTGCATCCTTTGTTTTGCAAGATTACATAAGTGATGATTGTGATAATATAATTTGTGGCGATTTTAATTTACCAGATACTTTCTGGTCGAATGATGATTATGGTGCAACTCCTCATGGGATTGTAACACAGCAGGTGGTGTGTTTGTTTCACATTATGGCATTTTTTAATTTAAAACAAATAAATGCTATTGCCAATGCAAGGGGTCGACTTCTGGATCTAATTTTTAGTAGTGAGGTAACCAATGTTTCGGCTGTTGACCAACCGTTGCTTGGTTGTGATTCGCATCATCCAGCATTGCAGTTCCTTGTTAGGTTGAATCCTCCAAGTGAAGTCATAAAATATGATTTTGAATATTTTAATTTCAGGCTAGCAAATTTCATTGATATAAATATGTACTTATCACATGTAGACTGGAATTTTATATATAATAATGATGATATTAATGTAGTAGTCGAATTGTTCTATAATGTACTAAATGTGGCAATTGAATTGTTTGTTCCAAGACGTAGGGCTAAAAACCTAAAATTTCCCACTTGGTTTAGTGATGATTTAAAGAAACATGTTTTGATGAAGAAGGTTGCGCATAAATCTTACAAACAGTCCAACTCATTAGTCGACTATCAGAATTTCTCAAACCTTAGGCAAAAATGCAAAGAACTAGTAAAAGATAGCCATATTAATTATATAAATGAACTCGAGAATAATATTCAATCTCCAAAAGGGACTTTTGGAGATATGTAAATTCCAAAAAGGATAGTACTGAACTGCCTAAATATATGTTTTATGGTGAGGAGAAATCGGACTGCCCTCAAAAAATTGCTAATTTATTTGCGCAACATTTCTCGTTGGCATATGTAAATCATAGAGAGAAATACATTGATTTCCAGTATTCTAACACTGTAGATTTGTTTTTTTGTAATATAAGTTTGATGGATGTATTTAATTGTATAGGTAATTTGGATGATGGTTTGGGATGCGGGCCAGATAGCATTCCAGTTTACTTTCTAAAAAATTCTAAATGTGTTTTGTCTGAAGTTCTTGTCAGAATATTTAATAAGTCATTGTCAAAGGGTATTTTTCCTGAAAAATGGAAGGAAAGTTTTCTTACGCCTATTTTTAAAGCTGGCAATAAAGCAGACATATCAAACTATCGCCCAATAAGTAAATTGTCGGTTATTCCAAAAGTTTTTGAGTGTATTGTGACTGAAAAAATCTCCCCATGCTTTAGAAATGTTCTCTCGACTGCTCAACATGGATTCATTAAAGGAAAATCAACTATTTCTAACCTCTTATTATATCAAGATAATCTTGTTAATGCTGTAGAATTGGGAACTCAAGTAGATTCCATCAGCACTGACTTCAGTAAGGCTTTTGATAAGGTTAATATATCTATACTTACAAAAAAATTAGAGGCCTTGGGCATTCGGGGGACTTTTTTGGCATGGATAAATAGCTTTCTGGGCGGTAGAGTACAATACGTCAGAATTAAAAATTTTATTTCATTTCCAATAAATGTCGTATCTGGTGTTCCTCAAGGAGGACATCTTTCTCCCTTGCTATTTAATTGCTATATTAATGATGTTGAAGATTTTATCCATCACAGTGACATATTGTTGTATGCAGACGATTTGAAGTTGTATAGGCCTGTTAAGTGCATATCAGACTGTAAGCAGTTACAACTAGACCTGAATTGTTTTGCTCTGTGGTGTCACCTGAATGACCTAATCCTTAATTTAAATAAATGTAAAACCATAACCTTTTCTAAATCTCATGCATCAATTTTTTATGAATACAAATTAAATGATCAAGTAGTTGAAAGAGTGGACTCTATTAAGGATTTGGGAGTTACATTTAGACAGGACCTAACATTTAAGTTACATATTGAGAATATTTGTAATAGGGCAATGAAACTTTTGGGATTTGTATTTCGCACCCTCAAAGATTTTAATAATATTTTTACTATAAGGAGCGTTTACTGTTCTGTAGTGAGATCCCTTTTGGAATATGCTACCCCAATTTGGTCACCACATTATGGGGTCCATATAAATTGTGTTGAGAGAGTTCAGAAACGGTTTTTAAGGTATATTGCCTATAAGATGCATATACAGAAGAGGTCTGCTACAATGACCTGTTGCGGTTGCTGGGTCTTTCTAGTTTAGAGGCACGTAGAAGGAATTATGATATTTGTTTACTTTTCAAGTTGCTTAATAACTTAATTGACTGTCCCCCTTTGTTGAACAGCATTTCCCTGCGTGCCCCTGTGAGACAGACTAGGCAAGTGCATCTTTTTCATAGCGAGTATCATAGGACTAATTATGGTTTTTTCTGCCCTATGGCTAGAATATGCAGAGAAGCTAATCAGCTACCCAACAATTTTGATTTTTTTGGCATGTCTCTGAAAACTTGTAAACATTTGTTAAATAGTCTGCAGCGCTAAATGTCAGTGTATTTATATGTACTGTAAATGTTAAATTTTAAGTTCTTGTGTTTTTCGTTAATATTATAACGTCATATATTTTTGTATTATGTTATTTACTGTAAATGGCTTGTCCGTTAATAAAGTTTATAGTTTAAAGTTTATTATTACAACACCCATGTGGTTACCAAGACTCGGTCTACAACCTCGTTGTGACAATATTCCCCACTTGTTACTGTAGTAAAGCGCATACCGTTCTAGTAATTTAAATAACTATTATGTACAAGTGTGCGGAAAATGCACTTCTCACTTATTTGCAAGTGGAAAGTAGCACTTCACTGCACTTGCTTGCAGGTGGCAAGTAGCACTTTATTGCACACTTGCACTTGTCTTGTTTGCAAGTGGAAAGTAAACTAGCACTCAACGCACACTATGCGGTCTTTACTGACCTTTGCAAACTGCCGTTGCATGCGGTAAAGTATCACTTTCCGCATTTGTTAGGTTAAATTAATAACCATTGTCATTGTTTTGTTTAGTGTGCATGCGGTATACCATTCTTTCTGCACCCTGTGTGGTAATGTAGTACTTACCGCACTTTTGTAGATAAAAACCGTTACCGGTTAAGTAATTTGAAATAATACTTACATGGTTTTCAAACAATTACGCAGGCACCCACCAAACTTTACTTATTAATTTATTTATTTTAGCATTAGATAGCTAATCATTTTTGCAACAGTTTTCAATATTAATTAGTGTAACAAAAGGGGTTTTCCTCAAGACAACAGTCACAGTTTTGGATATGGAGAAAAAATGATACAAAATTTAATAATAAATAAACTTTTTCAGTCAGCTGAATCCTGACAGTGACAATCAACTGACTTCTGTCAGTTCTGTCTTTTCTGACTTGTTCCTTGCATTTCGTTTGTGACGAATTCGGAGTAGATGGTAGTTGTTTTTGCTGCACTAGTCTGGACTGAGTGCAAAATGCTTTTCAGAGTAACACTTTTTGGCATTCTGCTGGAGTACGGAATTGGCGGGATCTAGAGTCTAGACCTGTTCCAAATCTTCATCGCTTATCCCTGGCCTGGGCCAAACAAACATCAACAAATATAAAATACACAGAATTTGGTATTTGATATAACTAAGGTAAAAATACAAAATTTTATCCAAAAAATTTTTCTTTTTTCCTACAGCCGTGCGGAAAAATCGATTTTCCGCACTGATATGCGTGCGGAAATATGGATATGTCAAAAAAAAAGAAAAATTTTACATTTTTTCGCCTGTAGGAAAAATATTGTACCTAACACTTGCGGAAAAATTCATTTTCCGCACTTGTTAGGTAAATAGCTATTGTGGTCAGGGCTGGGATCACGACAAGTAGAATTCTACTAGAATTCAACTGGGAACCCTGCTCCCCGGTTTCAAGAATAAGGACACTGGTGTAGCCAATTGGTGTACCATTCCTAGTTCCAAGTTCAACATAGTGCATATTATAGCGTAGAAGTACTGTTCGAATGTTCGATATAAACTGCTGGAACTTCGATACGCATAAAGAATTTTTTTGCCTATTTTTGAAGTCAAATATCTCAGCAAGTATACGAGATATTTGATTGCGGTTTGAAGCATATTGGGGCGCATTGTTTGGTGTTCAAGGTATATGGTATCGTGCTGATAAACAGAAACGTTATCTTCGACATACAGGGTGGACAATAATACAGTGCAAAGTTTGACAAATTTCAGGGCGTCGCTATTTCTTTTCAAACATACTCCTGCTTTTTTTCTGGGTTTAAGAAGAATCAATAGTTCAATGGTAAAAAACAACTTGAAGGGTTTTTGAAAAAATCTCGTAGTTTTGCAGAAATTTCAGTTTAGCTGAAAAATCACTTCCATCACCCTGATTCTTTGTCTCAGTTATTCGAAACGAAACAATGTTATTCATTATTGTTGGTTAGACGTTTTCGTCTTTTTTTGTTTCAAAAAGAATTCATACAGGGTGAGAAAAAAGTAATTTTTTAATACTAATTATTGGATGGTCCGTGAAGATAATTGCGCCTCTGAATAACTAGAGATAGTACACGTCCAAACACGTAACATGTACCTACTGCGATTTATAGGGGGCACAGTCCTCTTTCTCAATTGATATGGTACCAACCTTTCTCTGCTTTATTAGGCTATTTTTCGCGAGGATAATCAAGTAGGTATAATCGATTATGCTATACTGGATTATGTGATGTGTCAATTGTGTGTCCTGCTCCCCTACCATCAAATTCTGGGATACTCAAAGATCATGACCACTTAATTTCTTCAGACCGAAAATCACCTTTTCTACATTTAAAATCGACGAAAAAAACTAACTCACTAGCACAACCTGAATCGCAAGCATTCCATAGAGGTCTGCGGATGACGTCACTACTATAAGCTGCTGATAGTAACGTCACTCGCAGGTCCAGAATTGGATGGAGAGGGAGTAAGGGAAGTATGACACAATTGACGCATCAAATAACTCAGCATAATCAGATTATGTTTGATTATCCTCGCGAAAAATTGCCTATTGAATAACCATTATAGGAGCAAAATATAATTATATTATGTTTCCTAGGTGAAAAAGCTATATATTCTGTTCTCGAGACGCCAAGATATTTGGTGAATTATTACAACGTACCATGTCATCAGGGGGACTATTTATACAGGGGTGGTAAAAAGTACCGGAAAAGTTGAAACTCTTTCAAACCCGCTTAAAAAAAACCTGCATTCTCAAATTTCTTTATCTGGATGAGGTTTCCGGACATACAAAATTAAATGATTCAATGATATCGGCGCTGCTGTCAGATCTACCAGCTTTGTCCAATTTCGTTCGCCCAGAAACCTCCAGATGAAGAAATCTGGGAAAGCAGCATAAGTGGGTTTGAAGAGATTCATTCAACCGTTCCGGTACTTTTTACCACCCCTATATAAGTAGCCCCCTTATGACGTGTTACGTGCTAATAATTCACCAAATATCTCGGCGTCTCGAGAACAGAATAGCTCTTCCACCTAGGAAATATAATAAAATCATATTTTGCTCTCAGAATGGTTATAAAATAAAGCAGAGAAAGATTGGTGCCATATCAATTAACAAAGAAAACTGTGCCCCCTATAAATTGCAGTTCATGTTACATGTTACGACGCGTGCTATCTTTAGTCACTCTGAGGCGCAATTATCTTTACGGACCCCCTAATAATTAGTATTAAAAATTTATTAATTTTTTTCACCCTATATAAAATCTTCTTAAAAAAAACGTTGAACCAACAATAATGAAGAAAATTGTTTTGAGTAACTGAAATAAAGAATCAGGGTCCGATAAAGAGCGATGCTGAGTAAATACCGGAACCACAGCATACATTAGAGCTAGGGACATATCTGTGACAATTTCACTAGGTGAACATCCTACTTTGTGATTCCAGGCACTCAACCAGGATTCAATTCTCAAGGTTGTGTGACTATCGCTAAGTAATGAAGCCACCGAATACTGGCCGTGGTAGTTGATCACAATTTCGTAAAGAAGAATCCACCTTGATTTGAATCCGTCAGGGTATAATATCTTCTTTGCAACACCGCCAGTAGCATCAATGCTAACTCTTGAAAAGTTTTCTTCGCAGTATTTTCTATATATCATTATTTGTGTATTATTCCATAAATATACATAAAAAGGATTATACCCAATATCGTGTATGGTATTCGAGAATTCTTGTAGACTCTTTGCCTTATGGAGTGCTACAATGGGATCAATATCGGCTCTCAGAGATTTGAAAAGGGAAGACTTTGCTACTCTGAGAGTTGATAGCCTTGGTATGAAAGGAGGCTCTAGCTCATCATCCCGCATACAATTTAAAGCCATTTCATTTCGAATACTGCTAGCAGACTTGTTCTCTCTTATCATTTTATCGACAATATTTTGTCTTTCTTTGCCCCTGCAATGGTACTTTGGAATGAGGCTTATTGAAATTTCCAGAGAGAGTTAAATGTATGATAACAATGTTGGAAGAGTTATCCAAAATTTTGCCATCCAAGACTGCTCCACATTCCTTGCAAGCTCCAGCAATTTTTGCATTGACTGTTCCCTGGGGGCGTAATTTTACCTCGTTTGAATGTAAAGGTGCACTGAAGGTGGGTTTTTTCGAATATTTTTTTTCGAAGTGTGGAGGTCCAGTTATATTTGTCCCATACATAATAATTTCTCAAATCACTCTTGTGACCAGAGTGCTTTATCGATTTATCGGATCTTTTGTACTCAGTAACTTGTTCCGAAAACTCTTTGTACTCAGCTGATGATATCTCAACATGAAACTTCCTGACTACTTCCGTACAGTCAGAATCTGTACTCTCACTCTTCCATTCGCTCGAGGAAGTATGGCTCAATAAACTTGTATTATCAATATCTGGTGAGTAATTGCTTTTTTCAATTCCAAGAAAGTCATATATCCCATAATAATTTTTTTTGAACTACAATGAAGACACCCATCGGTGAAATGTTCACGCCTTGTGACTGCAAATCTTCGGCTAAAGATTTCCAAATAGTGTTTTTTCTGTTGGTTGTAGTATTGGTGGAAGAATCATAGATATTTTGCAAGCCAACAGCTCTCAAACACTGCAAAATGGTTGCAATATCTTGTTCCGACCGTTTTCTTCCCATTTTTACCTGCAAGAAATTCAGTGCTCTTGAAATCTAGTTTTCTGTTGCCAATAACTGCTATTACGCTGTTCCTATCCATTTTCATTTTAGGATAAGCTAACAGTAGGTTCAAGATATTACTCTATGTTTACATAAAATATTATAATTATTGAGGCTTCAAGATTTTCTCCATAATTTCAAAAACTGGTAGAAGTACTATCAACATATTATTATATTTTTAGAATCAGGAAAATAATGTCTATTCAATAGGGAACTTGCCAGGGACGGGGCCATGGGGAAGGTTGGGGGGGTTCCTAAAATATATCGAAAGTTGGGAAAATTTGAATAAAAAATTTAAAGTTGGGAAAAATTGGTAGACAAAAATTTGCGCACCTTATTTGCGAGGACTAATTATTATTATTATTGTCTTTTGAGAAATACTTAAGAATGAAGTTAACTGACTTTTCAGAATCCATCGGTGTAATGTCTGGAGATCGCGGAGGCCCGTTAATGGTACCACTAGTGTGAACAGAGTTGGGCCCTTTGTGTAGTTCACTAGAGGGTTGTAAGGCCTCCAAGGTCCGTATCTCTGTGCGTGACGTCCAGGAATTATTGCCTGAAAGTCACTAGTTATCTTGAACCAAGATAACGACTACAAAGCCCTTAGGGAAGAACTTTGGGGATAATTATCACAAATGGTTACTTTGTGTAATTAAATGAGTAGAAACTATTATTGTTTGATACTGGCTTTATTATTCAAATTGATTCTTATTTATATTAAATATTTCAATTTGAACCTAACAATATTTATCATAACTAATAATAATTAATTACAATATTTTTCATAACTTAATAACAATTAAAGGTGTGTTGACTTTGTATCTAAAACACTGGCGCTACGCGGTATCATAACGGAAATTAAGGTGAAAAACCCGTGAACATCGATTCGTGGTTTTTTTAGTATACTTTGGGCAAGGTTTGCGATGGGTTTAATTACCTTGCCTTATTTCCTAATAAATTGTGGATTTTATAATGATGTAGAAATTTCAGATTAAATTAAAATTTATGTTGAAATTTCTAATTTATGTTGATTCAACAAGTGGAAATTATTATTCCTGGAATTATGAGCTTGATATGTCGTTGGATTTAGATTAAAAAGTAGAGTTTATCAGGCATAAAAAAAACTGAAATGAAACGTGTGATCAAAAATCT